AAACAGTCTTTAATTGGCTTGAGGATACCACACTAAATTGATTTCCTTATCGGTTGCTTCTTCTCATTTTGTATAACATTTGATACTTTGATTAGTCCCTCCATCATTTCTCCCCCAAGTATTTACTTTAAAACATTTAAACCTACGGAAAAGTTGAAAGCATTATCCCATAATTTTTCATTAATTTTTTTCCTGATTATAAAAGTAATACAAATTTTGGTGATCATACTATGGTTATAGAAGATATCATCATCATTAGGGAATCTGAGTGAAGTATATAGGGGAACTCTCTGTACCATTTTAAAACTTCTATGTGAATCTATAATTATTTCAAAATAAACTGTTTTCCTTTAAGTAATAAACCATATTATTCACCATATTTTATTTATTCACCATATTTTATTGCGTTCCTATGATATTTCAGGTACTATTCTAGGCCCTGGGAATACAGTAGTGACCAAATTAACAAAAATCCCTTTCCTCATGGAGCTTTCATTCACTGGAGGTGATCAATAATGAGTAAATAAGAAGTATGTATTATGTTAGGTAGTATAAATGCTAAGGAGAAAATGTAAAGCAGAAAAGTAGAGAAGGTGTATAGTAAATGAGAACGGTGGAGAAGAGGGGTTGAAATGTAGATATGGCGAGAATAGCCAAATGCCCCATTGAGAAAGGAGCAATTGAGGAAAGACTCGAAAGAAGTAAAGAAGCAATCTGTACAAATATTTCGGGGGAAGATATTGAGAGCATTTCTTTTTTACTTGAAATTAATAACAAAGGTCCTGAAGTAGATGCCTGCCTGTCATGTTTCAGGAATGGTGAGGAGGCTAGTGTGCTTGGTATGGTGGATAATGAAGTGCAAGAGATGGGGTGGGGGAGGGGTGGCAGGGAGCAATTTGATACCTGAATCAGGAGTTCAGGCTAGAGGTAATAGTTGGAGTGCCATCAACATATGCAGTACATTATATTTATTTATTTATTTTTATTTATTTATTTTTAAAGATTTTATTGGGGGAATTGGAGGAGGGGAACAGATAAGTTGCTGTCCTTTTGTTCTTCAGTCTAGTTGTGGAGGACGCCGCTCCTCTGACCCATGTTGGTATTGTGATTATTGCACTTCCCGGGTGAGGCAGATCGGTCCTCGGACCATTGGATGGCCCCTCACGGAGATTCATGGCAGCTCATGCCACCGGCTGCTCACTCTGGCTGCCGGCCACTCACAGTAGCTCACGGCAGCCCGCTGCAGTCCCTCTGAAGCCTATGCCATTGCTGGCGACTCACAGCAGCCCAGCTCCAGGTTGAGCTGTTGTTCACCATCTTAGCTGTAGAGGGCAGTGTCACTGGCCCATGTGGGATCCGAACCAGCGGCCCTGCTGCTCAGAGCTCATGCTCCCAAGTGAATTCTTAACCAACGCGCCACTCAGCCGGGCCTACAGTACTTTTTATTTAAAGTTATGTGACGATGAATCCACCAAGAGACTGGATATAGATAGGGAAGAGAAAGTGTCCATGGATTAACCACTAGGTTACTCTGACATTCAGGGTTGGGGGCTTGAGAAGGAATCAGCAAAGGAGACTGACACTGAGGGTTCTTCCCTTTAGGATTATGTCCTTTGTTGGCATGTGAAGTGTACCATGTACTAGCCCAAGTTTACCTCATCTCTAACCACGTCTCTTCTAATAGTTTTTAAAAACGTATCATGCTCTCTCTCCTGGTTTGTTCTATGCGCCTTTCCATTTTTTGAAACACTGTTTCTTTCCTCTTTTTCCCTCATCCTGACTAGCTTTTTATATCTTTTAGGATTCACTTCAACTGTACCTTCCACCGTGGTCTGCCAGATGGCTTAGCTTCCCCTTCTGTGTACCCTACACATACCGAGCATCACGCAACCCTCTCCACTCTTCATTGTTGCTCATGAGCACTCTCTCTTTCTATATGTTTTCTCTCTGGATTAGAATCTCCTCCAGGAGATTGATACTTGAGGTTCCATGTCCCATTCATCACTTAATGTTTAGTACAATGCTTAATATTTGGTTGGCACCAAATAATATTTAATAAATTTGAGAACCAATATAAATTAATTAACTATAATAGAAAGAGAAGAGCCTTATATAGGCTCAGCCTTTGGAGACAGAGAGTAAAGGTGGAGGGTAGAACCAGGCTTTTGTGAAAGAGGATGGTGTATAGGCATCAGAGGAGATGAAAAACATGCCAGCCATCCAGAGGTTACCAATCATTTTCTTGTAGCAGCAAGGAATTTCTAGGTACAATGGCTGATTAGCTTTTTTTCTGTTGTCTGTACTTGAAAGCTCCCTGACAGACAAACAGTGTTTTATCAAGCAAGTAGAAAAAAACTACAGTGGGTTCATTATTTTGGATATTTATTTGCATGATCTTTTTTGAATACGTGTTTCCCTTTTCATTTTTTAACAAACTACCCCAAGCTTGGTGGTGTTTGAGTGCTTCAGCTTTCAGGTATGTGAATAAAGGAACAGTTTTAAGTCAAGGGTCTTCATATTGAGTATGAACCATCTTAAGAGTCATGGAATTGTTATTAAACTCCAGTGAAGCATAACTGGTCAGGAGAAGGGTGGAGACAGATTGAAAAGCCAAAGATTTTTAGGAATTTAAGCAGTGGATCCTAAAAAAAGCATTAGGTAGAAATAAGGTTTCTTTGTTTATAAGTGTATTAAGTAAAAACATGGGGGTTTGAGTCACATTTTAAAATATTTTTTAAATTTTGCCAAACTTTTTTGTATTTTTTCTGTAGCGTGACCATAAATATTTATAATGTGAGACAAATATAGCTTCTACATGAAATATCATAATTTAAGGTATGGAACAATTGAGCCACATTTCAAATGGGAAGTAACAGTGGTAGGGAGCAGTCATGTGAAACGTTCAAAAGAAAAAAACCCATGTTTCAAAAGTCTTTAATTCTGAATATTATTCTCTGTATAGTAGTACTAATTTTAAAAGTGTTCAGATCCAACTAAAGTTCAATTCAGAGATATAATTTATATATTTGCTCTCTCAGATGAAGCTTTAAGCATATGTTTCTAATAACTCAGTTAAAATATGCTGAGTTGTATATTTTTAAAGAGAATCTGTTTTGAAGATTCCACAATATTTGTTTGAACAGGCACACAGCATCTCGATGAAAACTGCTGGAAAAGAAAAACTTTCAGTCACTCTGCACTCAGTGTACCCAAGCCAACTAAACTGGTACAGTTAACACTTCTGTAGGAGGCCAGAGCCAAGAAATGGAGCACTTCCTGGACTGCTTTTCAGCAGGCCTTCAAGCCAACTTAGTGTTTGATATTAATACCATTGAGTTTTCAGAGTAATAAGCTACAAATAGAACATCTGCATCCCTTTCTATCAATATAAAACTTATTTGTCTCTTTTAGTAATCCATGATTAGTTTTAATTTCTGCTTTATGTTGGCATTAAAGCTGTAATTCTTTCTTGAATTTTGAGGGGTATCATTTTTGCAAAACAAGAAGGGAATACTCTATAGAGTGTGACCCTAGGTATGATCAAACTGTCTCCTGGACATAAATATTTTTACATTGCTTTTTAGTACTACTGAGTGTCATAGTAGAAATGTAAATAATATAGAATACCATATACTTTGGGAGGACTGGTATTTATCTCAGGCTACCAAATTTATAAGTAAGGATAGTTTATTCTGCCTCTGACCCTTTCATTTCCATTTTATCCATTTAAGATTTATTGACACCACTTAATTCATTTAGCAATTATGTGCTTCGTATAAATAGTCATGTTGATCTATGTCCACCTATTTGCTGTAACAAGAGCTCTACTTAGATATTTGTTGGATTAAGCTAGAAGGTACCCACCATGTTTATGGCAGAGACTAAATAATAAAGATTCAAAGATTCTGCATGCTAACTAGAGAGACAAGACTAAATTTAACATCTGTACTACCATTTCTCTATCACAAAGTTAGCTGGAAAAATGGCCGAAACTAAAATTTCAGTCACTTGGTTTTTCAACTGCTTCCCACAAAGATTAGATTAACAGTGTCTCCAGAAATGATTACCATACTTTAATCATTTTAAGCTTCTTTCAGAACCATAAGTGTAGAGGAGTAATATGGAACCAATGATAAACTCCTGGCCTTTTTTCCCTTCATTATTTGGATCTGTGTATAATCTGAAATAGCAGATTATATACAATTTGAGGCATAAAATCATCTGCGACTTCAAGGGATCTGAGAATCATCAGAGGAATGAAGTCCATTACTGGAAGTTTAGAAAGCAAATGAGGGAGTTTCCGTAAGAAACTAAAGGGATTAATGACTGAAAACCAGAATCTTCAGTTGCTTGGGTCAGTTATAAGAAGGAAGCATATACATAAATAGTAGCATAATAGGGTGTTACTGAAATCCAAGAAAAGTAGAATAAGACAAAATATATCTAGCGCTTTGATGTTCCATTTGATAGTACCTTGGATAAATTTCACAAGGGAGATAGTTGAGATCACTGATCCTTAGCACATGAACCAAGAAATAAGAATTCTATTTATCATAGGAAGTAACTTTGGCCCCTGAAGAAGGTGTAGACACTCTTTAGTAGAGGAACATTTTTGTCTATAATTTCCTCTGATTTAGTGCCAAAAGCTTTTTGAGAGAATATTCAAAGCTGTGTCTGTCTGAATTTTATTGTTGAAAATTGACAGCTGCTATATTTCTTTTTAATAACTGATTGAAGCTCTTTCTGTTATGTCTCAATTGCTAATTCCTTAAGTTTAAAAGAGTGTTTAAAGTAACAGTATTATGAGACAAAGGGTTTATTCTGTGGATTTGATAATACTTCTTTTGTGACATTTTCTTTTCCCACTAAAAGTGAGAAGCGAATGCCTTGCCTTGGTATATCCCATTTCTAATGGAGGACAAGAAGTTATTTTCTTCAGTGGCTGACTTCCAGAATTTCTGGCTGAATGTTCTTTGTCAAGTGTATATTCCCTTCTCTAGGCCGTTCTGTATAGAGCCCACAAACATCGTCAATGTGAATGATGTCATTCAGAGGGTTAGTGACCATGCCTCTGCCATGAACAAGAGGATTCATTACTACAGCCGGCTCACCGCTCCTGCAGACAAGGCACTGGTAAGGGGCAAAGGGTTGCCGATTGTCTAAGGTTAAGTTGAAATGAACAGTGAACAACATAAGCCAGGGCAACTCCCTGTGGTTGAACTTTCTGCTGGCCATCTTCCCAGGATAGCATCATGGAAAGTCAAAGATAGTAGTTAATACATGTCCTGCATCTCAGGCTAGTTCATTCTTTTCTAGGCTGGCATAGAGAGATTTGAAACAATCTCTCTATGTTGGCAACACATCTAGAGATTTGTTGGATTAAATTCTGCTAATCCCCATTCCTAAAAGCTCTGAGGAGGATAAACTACTTTTGAAGTAGTTTAGGTCATTGATTAATAGAAATAATAATAGGTTCTGGTTAGCGTGTTCAGCTTTTAAGATGAAACTACAAGGGGAAAATGTTTGTAGAAATTTTCTGCAGGAATGGGAAACTGAAAAATACACATACCTATATATATATATATCTATATATATATATATATATATATATATATATATAATGTTTTCTTATTTAGCAGTGTCCTTTTGCATATCAAAAACAAGGGTCAAAGAGCAGATAGTAAACATTTTAGGCTTTGCGAGCCATACACTGTCACATATTCTTTACTTTTGTTTTATAACATTAAAAATATAAAAATCATTCTTAGCAAAGTGGCTGTAAAAACATCAGGTTGAAGGCCAGATTTGACCCGTGGGCCATAGTTTGTTGACTCTTGATTGTAAAATATGTATTATTATTTTAGGATCAAAAATACTATGTATTATAAGTAATTTGGTTGCTTATAAGAATTACCACATATGAGATATTCAGAAACTTGAAAGCAAAAAGAAAAATGGGAATATTCTGGGAGAAATATAATGATTTTCTTATAGTTAATAATAAAAAGGAACCAATGTTTTTTAGATGTTTACTAAGAGGGCAAGGACTGGGCTAGTCACTTAAACATAGATATTGGGTTGTCAAAAAAGTCATGACACATGCTTGCGACAGATCGCACTAGTTCATTTTTGGAAGTACTAGAGTCATTTGCATCTACTTTATTGCTATGTCATTGGACAGCTAACAGTTCTAGCTTCATTCTAAAAAATAATTGAGCAATTTGGTTGAGTTTTGGAGATTTTACAAGTTGAAGATGGAAGACCAAACTTTGCATTTTTGCCATATTTTACTGTTTTATTTTCATAAAGGGAAGAACGCACGTCAAGCTTGTGGAAAGTTGCATAAAGTTTACGGTGACAATGCTCTACAAGAACATCAGTGCCAATGATGGTTCACAAAATTCCGTGCTGGTGATTTTTTTTTTTTTAAGATTTTTATTGGGGAATTGGGGGATGGGAGCAGCACTGGGGAATTGGGGGAAGGGGAACAGACAAGTTGCTGTCATTTTGTTCTTCAGTCTAGTTGTGGAGGACGTTGCTTCACTGGCCCAAGTTGGCACCATCATTGCGCTCTTCCTGGGCGAGGCAGATCAGTCACCGGCTTCTGGACGGCCACTCACGGCAGCTTGAGAGCCGCTCATGCTGGCTGCTGGCTACACACGGTAGCCCATGGCAACCCACTGCAGCAGGGGCTGCAGCCTACTGTCGCCAGCAACTCACTGCAACCCAGCTCCAGGTTGAGCTGTTGTTCAGCATCTTAGCTGTAGAGGGCAGTGTCACTGGCCCTTATATGTGGGATCCTAACCGGGCCCTCTAGCGTCCCAAGCCAGCTCTTAACCAACGCGCCACTTGGCTGGCCCTGGTGATTTTGATCTCAATGACGCTCCTCTGTCAGGGAGGCCCACTGAGGTTGATGATGACAAAATAAAGGCAGTGATTGAATCAAACCCATGTTACACTACACAAGAGATTGCAGAAACATTGAACATCCATCATTTAAGCGTTCACGACCACCTGAAGAAGCTAGGATACCTAAGCAAGCTCGATATTTGGGTTTTGCATGAACTAAAAAGAAATTCATTAACGGCGTGTATAAACATCTGCAATATGCTCAGTAAATGTGAAGAAAATGATCCTTTTTTGAAGTGACTAATAACTGGTGATGAGAAGTGGATTGTTTACAACAATGTGGTGCACAAACGGTCTTGGTCCCGACGTGATGATTCGCCTCAAACGACATCAAAAGCAGACATTCATCAGAGGAAGGTTATGTTCTCAGTGTGGTGGGATTTTAAAGGTGTCGTGTTTTTTGAGCTCCTACCAAGGAACCAAACAATCAACTCAAATGTGTACTCTTGGCAATTGGACAATTTGAACGAATCCATCATCCAGAAACGTCCAGAGCTTGTTAATTGTAAAGGAGTTGTGTTCCATTGCGACAACGCGAGACCACACACAAGTTTGATCACCGATCAAAAATTATTGGAGCTTGGATGGGATGTGTTGCCACACCCACCATACTCGCCTGACCTTGCTCCTTCAGACTTCCACTTGTTTCACTATCTTCAAAACTCCTTGTGTGGTATAACGTTCAATTCAGATGAGGCTGTAAATCAGCACCTTGTTCAGTTTTTTGCAAATAAATACAGGTCCTTTTATGAATGAGGAGTTACGAAGCTCACTGAAAGATGACAAAAGGTTATCGAACAAAACAGGCAATATATCATTGATCTTTGTTCTTTATATAAGTAAATGACCTTTGAAGAACATAGATAAAATATGTCATGACTTTTCCGATAACCCAATATCTCATTTCATGCAATGTGAAGTATTAAGATCTTCTTTTGTATAGCCTAGGGACTTCCAAAATATTCTGGGTAGTATAATTATTTCCCCAACTTTTTCACTTTTTCCTTCCCTAGGGCTTTACATTAGTAGTTGTGGTAAAGTTTTAGTTTCATAACAGGATTATTTAAGCCCTCCAGGAGTTGGAAGTAATTCAGTATGTTGGAATCTAGTTCAGACCTAGAGGCTGTGCTTGCGGAAGCATATGTCAGAGATACCAGCTAGGCCAGTCTAGGTCTGAATGTATGTTGTTTGCCTGAAAATTAAATCAGCATTGTACACCAAGTTAAATCCCTTTTGTTAGCTGATTGTGAGTGGACTCTAGTATATCAAAGCATATAAACAGTAATCTAAAATTAACAATGTGATATGACTGTTTTTAATGAATGTGTTTATACATGCACATCATTTTCTGAGAATTATTTTTTCCAAATTATTTTTCCTAAAATATTTTTAAGGAAAGAACAATATCAAACCACTGGTGTCAGGTATTTACAGACTAATACCTTCTTATTTCTGAAAATTTCCCCATTTGCCTTAATATTTTTAGTCTAAAATGGGGAAGGGAAGAAAATTATTTGGCTGTCAGCATCTCATCGATCCTTGCTAATATAAGTGTGTCTTGCATAGCCAGCAGTTTCGGCATCACTGAGAGCTTGTTAAATATGCAGAATCTCAGTCCTTACTGCATACCTACTGAATCAAAATCTGTGTTTTAACAAGATCCATGTATGAATCACAGGAATATTCAAGTTTGAAAAGCACTGCTCTAGATCCCTTTCAGAACGTGGGATCCAGTCCTCCAATTTTTCTGTTATCTCCTAAGAATTTACCCCTTCTTATCCTCTGGCTTCTAACCCTGTCCCCTATAACTTTTGATTTATCACTTTTTCTGAACTTGCTTTGCTAGCTATCATGGTTTATCTCCTGCTTGATGCAGACATGGTCCTTCCCCTTTCTTTTCTTTTTAGTCCATGGCATAAGACAACAGAACTCAGATCCAAGAGGATTAGGGTAAAGAGAAGGCAGCAGACCCATTTCCATATATGCTTTTGTATCTCTAGGACATAGTTGTTTCAAAAGCCACAATAGGCACAGCATTCCAGACATTCTTTGTCCCATAAGACACCACCGATCATGTGCATAATGAGAGAAGGACTGGACACTTTTTCATTTTGTACCAGTCCACCAGTCCATATCCTGTCTACCTACTGAGGCCTAGTGTTCCATCACTTCCTTGAAGTCTTTCTCAAACTGTTCTCGTCCAATTGTTTTTTGTGTTTGTTTTTGTTTGTTTTTTCATTATTCCTGTGATACAGTATTCCACAGAGTTGAACACTAAATTTTTATTCTGTCATATATAGCCTTGTCTAATTGCTTCATATGTCTTCCAACTAGAATTTAAACTTCTTGAAATTAGGGGCTGTATATTATTTTATTTCTTGAAGGCCAAACCTGGCACAAAGTTGCAGATTTGTGTGGTAGGTGCTAATTATAAAAGATTGTTCATTTATATGAGTCAACTCCGATGTCTTTAACTACTGTATGTAAGGACTACATATTTTCAAAGGACTATTCTCAGGGACATTGCAGAATTCCATCAGGAGACTGTGTTTTTTTTCCCCCTCCAAAATAGGGTGATAGAATTAGGAAGAAATGTCTGGAGGTAAGGCAGGAGCTAAGTGTGTAAGAAACACGTATCTGTTCAGTCGTTCTCTCTGTATGTCCTCAGCCTCTCTCTGTTGTCCCCTTCCCTTGTTTACATCTTCCATCTTTAAGAATCCTTTCTTTGCCTTTTCCCTCAGCTACTTAGCTCACCTTTTCCTTCTACCAAAGCATTGAAAAGAGTATCTAAGGGCCGGCCGAGTGGCTCAGTTGGTTAAGAGCTTGCTCAAGAGTTTGAGCTCTGAGCAACAGCGGTTCGAGTCCATCCCGAGCTGAGCAGCCAACGGTAGCAGGATGGGTCAGCTAAAAAAAAAAAAAAAAGAGTATCTATATGTATTATTCCTTTCTTTACCTTCTGTTGACTCCTCAGTTCTTTATAGTTTGAGTTCCCTACCTGCCTCTGTTAAAACCACCCTCACATAAGAGTTCAGTGACCACTTGATTCTTGAAATTCCCCTCACTTAATGCCCATGTCTCCTCCATCTAGAATTCCCTAATCTTAATCTTTGCTGACTCTTCTTCCTCTTTTCTCATGAAAATGAAGAGAAAAATACTTTGATAGTTGTATATTCTAGGAATTCATTCTCATTTCAGACGAACAGTTTATTGTTTATTGTCCTTAAATTCTTGCTCCTTTAGGTCTTCTATATTTAAGTGTGTGTATATATATATATATATATATATATATATATATATATATATTTGTTAATATGGAATGCATACTGTTATTTGTTCGTGATGTTTAGAAATGTGTCTAGAGTCAGATACTCTAATGTTTAGAAAATATCCTATTTTGCACATTCACTGGTTCTAACATTTTTCTATGTTTCTTTCTTTCTTTCTTTCTTTCTTTCTTTTAACCAGGTTGCCCCAGATCATGTAGTTCCAGCTCCAGAAGAGTGCTATGTATATAGTCCATTGGGTTCTGCTTATAAACTTCAAGGTTACACTGAAGGATATGGTAAAAACACCAGTTTAGTAACCATGTGAGTAAAACTACTTTTTGAAGCGTAACTATATGTAAATGAAAATTACTGCTAATTTTAATTTTTGTCTCAATTAAAATGTTTGAAGAGTCAAACTTCATGTTTTTACTGTTATTCCTCTGTCTTTTCAGTTTTATGATTTGGAACACTATGATGGGAACATCCATACTGAGTATTCCTTGGGGCATAAAACAGGTAATATAATTTTTCAGCATACTTTTTGCCTCAATTTTTTTCTTTTTACAACGGCGGTTTTAATAAATCTACATAAAATTTATTAAAATAGATTATTTAAGTTTACATTAGTTGTCAGGTTTTTATCATAATTATTTAGGGTAGCATAATGACTGCATATGTATTCTAACATGATGATATATGTAGTTCTATTTTTATTTTTAAACAGGCTGGATTTACTACTGGAATGTGTGTCATCATGCTGATGGGCCTTTTAACACTTTATTGCTGCTACAGAGTAGTGAAATCACGAGCTATGATATGTAAGAATTCGCCACAGTGAAAATAAATTGGTTAATTAGTATTTCCTGTTGAGTATTTTCTGTACACATTTCCTAGGGTGTGCATTCCACGTGTGTGTTAACTATGTTGTTCCTAAAGATTTACTTCTCTATTTCATAGCATTAGGCTGAACTGATGGTGACTGCCTTTGAAATTCAAAGGGGCTGGGGGTTCTTTGCAGAATGTGTTCACTTTGCTGTTAATTTCCTCATAAGAATAATTTTAAAAGCCATTTTTTTAAAGTAAGGTCTTTGCCAGAACTAAATTGAGAATTTATGATTCTTATCAGTTAATGGTGCCTTGTTTTGACCTAGCCCTACCCAAAGACCTAAATGTAGAAACCGTAACTAGAAAAATATGCAAATGTGAACAATGTGTCCTTGTAGTGAATTCCATTGTATCAACGCATTTCCTCCACTCATCTCTCCAAATTCTGGATCAAGGAAATACCTTTTTAGATTGTTTTAAAATAGTTTAGGACCTAAATAAACATAGATTATATAATTGAATCTTAGCAAGTATGAATCAACAGACTAGGCTTTGGCTCTAATTTTTTTCTGTCTCTATTAAGCAGTGGTATATTTTCTCTTAACTGTATTATTTATTCATATCCTTTTCCCATTTATCCACAACTCCCTTGGTGCTCTTACAGATCTGCTAAGTTCTTTATATGATTTAGGCATTAGCCCTTTATTTATTATTTCTTGTCAATTTCTTTCCCATTCAATATTTGAATGACTTTGGTATTATATATATATATGAGTTTATTTATACTTGTCTATCTTTTCCATTGTAATTCAGTTGATAGAAAAAGAATAACCTTTCAGGTTCCAATTTTATACTGTCTTCTAACTTTTCAGTTAATTTTTAATTTTTTAATTCAATTGTCTAAAATTTAAATTGGCATATGGTATAAAGTATGACTCAAGAAAAGTTTTCTCCATATTGTTATTTAAGTATGCCAAAGATTATTGGGTAATGTCTTCAGTCCCTTACTGATGATTTTGTCTAGCCTTGGTTTATCACTTGCTTTTATTAAGTATAAAATTTTATGATACTATAATCTATTTCTCAGATTATCTGTACTCTTTCATTGACCTACATTCCTTTTTATGTTTGTTTTATTTTCTGTTGTTTCATAATATGGTCGAATATCTGTTGCTGGAATACCCATAATCTTTTACTAAATATTTTGAGTTAATTTGGGGAAAACAAATTATGAATATGGGACATATGATTAACATCTAATTTTATTCGTTTTCTTTTGTTTTTTATCTAGCTTCAGTGGATACCACTACCTGGGAATATCCAGATGTCTGCAAATATTATTTTGGCTCCTTTGGGCAGTGGTCAAGTCTGCTTTTCTCCTTGGTGTCTCTCATAGGAGCAATGATAGTTTACTGGGTGCTTATGTCTAACTTTCTTTTTAATACTGGAAAGTTTATTTTTAGTAAGTATCCACAGCATGTGCTTTTACACAGTTATTTTCAGATACAATAACTACTGTGATGTTTTAGTTTCAGCCTTAAATTCTGAAGTTGGAATAAATAAAGTAAAAAGTAATATTTGTAATTCTGGAAAATATACTTGATTCACTTTGTTTTCCATGGTTATGATCTCAAGTATAGTGTGTATGTTCATTTCCAAAAACTAATTTTTGTATAAATAATATTCCTTCAAATTCTCTAATATAAAATATTCCTGAGTTCCAGCAGATATTTTAAGCATTGTTTCAACCTTTACCATAAAATTTTAGTATAACAGAGTTTATGAAGGTCATTGGTGCTTGTTACTAAAGAATTTGATGTGTAGAGTCTTGGCAAAACAAATTACAGTCAGCTTATTTTCAAAATATTAGGATTTAAAAATTAGGAAACAGTAAAGGAACTTATGTCATAAATATATTATTAACATTCCACAGAATTTGTTGTGGGATATCGCTTGTACCCTTTAGTAATTTAAAGATTTTCTTGCCTATTGTTTTCTTAAGCATTTTTATTAATGTGTGCTGGATTTTACCAAATACTTAATCTACATTTCTTGTAATGCTCATAAGCTTTTCTCCTTCAGATTGTTAATAGAGTGAATTAAATGAATACATTTTATAATATTTAAATCATTCTTATATTCTGGGAAAACATAAATTAGTTTATTAGTCATGATATATGTATTTTTAAATTCCTTACTGGACTCAGTTTACTTTTGGGAAGAGTGGGGCTAATACATACTTTATTTAGAACTTTTGTGTCTTTTCATAAGAGATACTGGCCTATACTTTTTCTTTCTCATACTGTCCTTGTTGAGCCTTTGTGATTAGGGCTTTTGTAACAAACTATCATAACTGTTTGGCTTCGAACAAGAGAAACTTATTTTCTCACAGTCCTGGAGACTAAGTCCAAAACCAAAGTGTCAACAGGACTCTGCTCCCTCTGAAACGTGTGGGGAAGAACCCTTCCTTCCCTCTCTGGGCGTCTGGTGGTTGGTTGCTGGCAGTGCTTGGCCTTCGTTAGCTTGTAGCTCTATCACTCCAATTCTTGCTCTGTCTTCCCGTGGCGTTTTCCCTCAATGTGTCTGTGTTCAAATTAACCCCTTCTTACTACGGATACTAGTCATTGAACTTAGGGGCTACCCTAATCCAGTGTGATTTCATCTTAACTTGATTATATCTGCAAAGACCCTCTTTCCAAATAAGATCACATTCTAAGGTTCCTGGTGGACATGGATTTGGTGAGACACTGTTCAACCCAGTATACTTAGTATCAAGGTTTTGCTAGCTATATGTAAGTCTTGGCATCAAGAATTCCATAAAGATTCATAACTTCTGATCTTAAATCACTAATAACCCTTAGAGATACTGTAAAAACCTAGAGCCTTAAACTACTTCTTTTCTTCTATCTTGAGAAGCATACAATGAAGGTGAATAATTCACATATTTAACTTACTTTATGACCTTAAAATTTAATCCAACATTTCTACCATCTCATTTAAGTTCTAATCAGACAATTTGATTAATGCTTATTACTAAGGTTATAAAAGATTAACATCAAACCATATAAAGTAAATTCAATCAGCCTAGCAAGAAAACATCCTTTACCCATTCTCTCATTTACAATAGAATGATATGAATGCTCAGGTATCTCCATACTTTTTACTTTGCTACTCCCTTTAGTATAACTTAGTGGTGCTTGTAAGCAATAATTACTCTATAGCCTTTGGTTTATAAGAGCATGTACTATACTTTGTAAAAACTTTAAATGACTTTCCAGATAAATTCGGCTATTATAAAGTGTTGGGTTTCCCCCTTTTACAGAGTTTAGAACTGTATGTTAAGACGTAACTATACATGTATAAATTAGTGAGAGTATAGGAAAACACTTGTACACATTATCTTTATTCCAGGGCTGTTAGCTAAATTCAGCCTGTAGGTAGGTTTTTTTAAAAATCCTCAATCTTATAAAAATTTTCCACAGTGGGACTGTGAAGCCAATGACATCTTTCCTGTCAGTAGAGAAAGCTAAAACAGGTGAAGCCATGTTAACAGTGAAGCCGTCTTGATTCAGTGTACTAGTTAAAATTACCCCCCAGGAGATCTTAAAGGATTTTTATAGACAAAAGTCTTTAGAGGGTGGTCAGTTTAGCATCTTTCATTCAGTACTGAACTACATATTTTCTTAATTTTTAGATTTTATCCATCACATTAATGATACAGACGCTGTACTGAGTACCAATGATAGCAACCCTGGTAAGTAGTTTGGAATTTAAAGTTTAGCTTGCTTTTTATTCACCACCTTGCTTCAAAAATGATTTCAGGTAGAACCTAGGACTGTATATTAGGTAAATGATGAATGCAAAACCATTATCATTTTGTTAACTGGGCCACTATTAAATTGTTGGCAATCAGTGTGTTAAAAAAAAAAAAAGCCACAAAAGGTTGTGTTAATGTGAGCTAAACAATATTTAGTTCGTATTATACAATTGACAACTGTAACTCACATTTATAGTATCCCTATTTGCCTACGAATAATCATTATGTATTTTCAAGAACCTAGGTCACTGCTAATTGTTTTAGTCTAGAAGAATAATTCTCAGTTTAACTTAGTTTCAGACATTTATTGTTCTAGTTACTAATATTTAAAACATACAAATATGTATACTTTAATTTCCTAATAATGAACAGAGGTTAGTAAATATGGAAAAACAAATTGAAGATTAGGCAAAAAAAAATCTTAGTTTCGTAGAAAAGTTTTAACTTGTTAAAAATAAACATTTGTGGCCTATGGGTTTATCCAGTATGGCATTCACAGGTGAAAGTGAATATATAAGCAAATGTAACTTTGTTAACAGTTATACTGTTAACCTTGAACATCACCTAAAGCTTTCTTGTATTTAGGTTTCAGAAATACTAAATTGACATCATTTTGATGGAGTTACAAATTGATCATCAAAAGGACAACTTATTGTTCTAGGCACTGGGAATTTAATGAACAGACAAAAATTTCTTCTCTCATGAAACTTACATTCCAATGTGGTACTTTTTCCCTTAATTTAACTGTTTAACCTTTTTTGTTTACACTAGAAAATGAGTGAGTGAAGTACCAGCTTTTATTTCTGTAGACATACACACACACACACACACACACACACACACACACACACACACACACTTTTCAATAGTTATACTAAAATAGTTCATTATAATTTAAAAATATATCTCTTGCATCCTATCCCTTATCTCAAAATTTTCAAGGGACCAAATAGCATTCTTGTCTTAAAAAAGAAATTCGTTTTGTGTAGCTATTCTGATATCAAGTGACAAAACTAGTTTATTAATATCTAATAGGATTTCTTCAGTAGGGAGTCCATTGTTGAGTTTATAAATATCACAATTACACTGAAGATTTGGAGAGAGCACCAATAGCAAAGTCAGTTTACTTTGCAAAGTGATATCATATGTTGATACTAGCACTTTTTGATTCTTGTGTTTATTTTGAACAATGTGTTAGTGTATGAAACAGTCTATTTCAGTTAATGTAAAAAATTACAGCTAACATTTATTGGATACTTACTGTGTGCAGGCATTGTTCTAAATGTTTTACAGACACTCTATAAGATAGATACCTCCACTTTCTGAATATAGAAACCAAAACACAGAAGTTAGTGACTTGCCCAAGGTTGCATCACTATTAGGTGACAGAGTCAAGATTCACTTCTCAGTCAACTTACTTCCATAATCTGTTCTCTTTGCCACTGTTATTAGCACAAGAAAAATTCAAGTAAATTTACTTCTGTCCAGAGCATAGATGGAAAAAGAACATGTTAAAATGCTGACTAAGAAAAGGAAAAAGAAAACCAAGTGTTTGGCTTTGTGGCATGCCAAATAATGAAGACAGAATATAATTAAAAACAGAACTTGCAATGAATATATTATTTTCGCTTTGACTAGTGATGAGTATGATTGTTGCTCAATATGAGTATTTTTCTCCAGCACTAAGAGTTCTTTACAAAGAGCTGAGTATTAGCAAAAGTGATGATTTGTATTCTACTAGCAGAAGAAATTGCCTACTTTAGGTCAGTGTTAGGAAAAATACATTTTACTCATTTCCAAGTTCTCTGGAGACATCTTCTGGGCTCTTGGGCTGCTATAACGTGATAAACTTCCAGGAGAATTACTCTGTATTGCTGGAATTCAAGATTCTGAAGCTATAAGCAATAATTAGTTTTGGCAATACTGTGACAGCTATTCCAGTGATGTCAACTTTTTAATCCAAACCCATAGATTTTGTTTATTGTTAAAAGAAACCTATTTTTTGACCTTTGTATGGGTTATTAGCACAACAAACACTTACCCTGAATTGTATATTTCTTATATAAGATTAAATGCCATCCAGCCCAATATTTTCTCTCTGGCAATGGAACCAGAGGATTTTGGGTGTGATAATTTTAGTTTCCAGTGGAAATTAAAGGAGATACCTCAAAATTTTCTAACATTTTCCCATCTTTAATTATTTATAGGTAAAAGATTTTTTTTTAAAAGGTTTTATTGGGGAATTGGGGAAGGAGAACAGCGCTGGGGAATCGGGGGAAGGGGAACAGACACGTTCCTGTTGTTTTGTTCTTCAGTCTAGTTGTGGAGGACGTTGCTTCACTGGCCCATGTTGGTATTATCATTGCACTCTTCCCGGGTGAGGCAGATAGGTCGCTGGCCTCTGGACGGCCGCTCACGGTGGCTATTGGCAGCTCATACCGGCTGTCAGCCGCTCACACCGGCTGCCAGCCACACACAGTAGCTTATGGCAACCCACTGCAGCAGGGGCTGCAGCCTACGCTGTTGCCGGTGACTCACGGCAGCCCAGCTCCAGGTCGAGCTGTTGTTCACCGTCTTTGCTGTAGAGGGCAGTGTCACTGGCCCCCATGTGGGATCCGCTCAGCTGGCATCCCAAGCCAGCTCTTAACCTACCACGTCACTCGGCCGGCCCGGTAAAAGATTTTTAATATATCTAAAGGTAACCCTCAATTTTTTTCCAGAAAGGAAAAACTTAGCATTCGTGGTAAAAGTTGAAGTTGGTAGAGCAAGTGTCAGTCTCTCGGGGTCATTTTCTGTTCTTTGTGGTCTTCTCTAATCTGATGTTTTCCTATTGCAGTGATTTGTCCAAGCGCCGGGAGTGGCGGCCATCCTGACAATAGCTCTATGATCTTCTATGCCAATGACACGGGACTCCAACAGTTTGAGAAGTGGTGGAATAAGTCCAAGACAGTGCCCTTTTACCTCATAGGGCTCCTCCTGCCGCTGCTCAATTTCAAATCCCCTTCATTTTTTTCAAAATTTAATATCCTAGGTAAGTTGAGGCACAGAGCTATAGAACCACTTCATAGTAGAATACATGCTGGATTCTGTGGAAATATGGTCTGGCTGGATAGAGAGTTATCTTCCAGGCCTGCACATCTGAGTTTAATTTGTTCACTGGTATGTTACCTCCTTTTTGGTTTTCTTTATGGAGTTTGGCACAGAGGAAGATGTAGATAACCATTTCAAGTTCAAGTCCCTTTTAAGACAAGTTATTGGGCTTCCCAGTCTATCCTTGCTGAAGAGTTCTTCTTCATTTCCTCTGAGGGTATAACTACAGGAAGTAGACTTAAGATTTCAGGAGGAGATCCAAAGTGGATATTATAGGAATTCTCAATTCTAAACGTTTGAAACATTAGAACTTACCAAGGGAGGTTATGATATATTTTTTCCTACGGTTTCTATTTAAGTATATAGCACAGAATTATCACCTGACTTTCAACCTGAGATGTCATTCTCTAGCTCAAATTCCTAAGATTTGTTCTGCTTTTGCTGTCTTCATCGGTACTTTTTTTTTTCTTGGAACACCATTGCCTCCTTAAGGGAACATACTTCTTTCTGTGAGCCGTTTTACAGAAATTTCTGAAATCACTGAAAAAAGTTTCAGAAATTTCTAAATCACTAAAGCAATGTTTTGACCACGTCTGCTTTTACAGCCTTAAGATGGCAAAAGGAATTCCCAGTGAAAGCTTAGGTCTGGTTAACTAGAGACAGAGATATCATTCATAAAGAATTGATAACTCCAAATAGAGCATAGGATTTCACCTTCTCCCTATAGATCTGATCTCCTGGTAGGCAGCCTAGAGTATAAAATAATTAGATTACTCATCATATCAAGGAGGTGGCTTCTGGGTTTCCAGAAGACCAAAGGAGCAGGTAAGGTTATTTCTCTGTACCTTTCTGCCTCACAACAGCATTCACTGTAAGACTGCCACAGACACAGACAGGAAATGAAGAGCTGTGGTTGTATAAGCTTTGGCCTCATTGTTTTCATCCTCTGTGAGTCAGCTAATCTTCAAGCCCACAAAAGAGCTTATATAGCTCATTTGTGGTTTCCTGATTTCTTTGCCGACTTTCCTATGGAACAGATCTTTAAAGGTTAGCATAGAAACTTATAGAAGAATTTACTCAATTGGGAAAAACAATCACCAGACTTCTAACCAGTTTGATTAACCTCCACCTCCTTAAGGATATCCTGCTTTTGCCCTTTTTCTTGGTACTTTCCCTTTCTGTTAAATCTATAGCTTCTTTAGAAAAATTAGTATTTAATTCCTCTAGAAATCTTCTTGGACTGAACTCCATAACGACTGGACTTAATTTCTTAACAGAAATAATCCTCTAACTTCTAGACTACTAAAAAATTCTGAATGCCCACTTTATCCTGTGTATAATACCTATGAATGGAACCTGAAACCTTTCCATCTAGCAAGTAATACTCCCCGATCAAAACCTCATCTAGACACTAGATCAGATTAGTCATGGATTACTTGGTTTATTGCCTTTCTCAAATAGGTGTATGATCCACATTCACTACTTTCTTATCATCATACACTAAGTGTTGTGACAGATTTTTCCAACGTATTGACCATCTCTAATAGTTTTAATATAAAGAATAAAAGACAGTTCTATGTTGTCTTTTCTCTCCTATGTAACCTAACAGTTTTGTAATGGACTGTGCATGTATCCTGCACTAAATTCAGCTTATGAGAAAATTAGACAGTTTTGCATTAAGCAATATATGAGCGACCTTCATGTGGTTCTTCTTAGGCCTACTACAGTTTTTTGCTTTGTTTTCTGATAACTCACATAGCTTGTTTCTGTTCTTTAGATCCCACCTGGGTTTTAGTGTGCATAGTCAGTGAAATTAGTAATAGCCCAACCTTTGCTGAGAATGTAGAAACAAAGCTTGATTTTAAAATAGTCTGTAAAACTACAAAGATGATTCATCGTTTCTGAATTTTTTCTCACAGGCACAGTGTCCGTTCTCTATTTGATTTTCCTTGTCACCTGGAAGGCTATTCGCTTGGGATTTCATCTGGAATTTCATTGGTTTATGCCAACAGAATTTTTTGTGCCAGGTGAGCTGCTTCAGACATATAAAGAATTAATAAGTTGCAATAATGTGATCTTTAACTATTTTTAACCATTGCTGTTCTAAAACAAGTAATGGTATTTTTTTATTATGTGAATTTTTATTAATGCTCTTGAGCTAAAAACAAGAGTACAGTTGAAATTACTCTGGTTTTCTTGCAGTTAGGGGTAACCAGGGCCTTTGTCATTTCTACTTGGGAGATGAAGTTCATTTATGTTACAGTGCAATTGAAAAATCAAGAATGGATTCTCTAGACTTTTCTGAGAAAACATACCCCTAGAATTTCAGAGACTTAAAACATGGTCAGTGATTAACATATGTGCATAATACTGCTCATTGACATCATTGTTCCCCTTACGTTTGTTTTTTTTTGTTTTTGGTATTTTGGTTTTGTTTTGTTTTTGTTTTTTTAATCCTGTTTTTCAGGCTAATTAAGATGGTGATATTAAGTGTTCTCTCCCTCCTTTTTTTCCCTCATGGTTGTAACTTGGCAATTTCTTACATTTCACCCAAATTTAGAAGATTTTGGACATGATAAAAGCACCATGATACAATGAACGCTAAATGAAAAACAGCTTAGAAAATGGAAGTGAGGGCTGGCCGAGTGGCTCAGTTGGTTAAGAGCTCACTCGAGAGTTTGAGCTCTGAGCAACAGCGGTTCGATTGCCGGCCCAAGCTGAGCAGCCGCTGAGCTGCCAACAGGTGGCAGGATGGCTCAGCTTAAAAAAAAGAAAGAAAGAAAATGGAAGTGACTGTCACACTAGAATCTTGAAAACTAATAAGAAGAAAGTAGTACAAAATTCTGCTGTTGGTTTAGTAAGAATGCTTTCTTTCCATTCTTCAACTGTTGATTCAGGCAGTCTAAAATGTCAAGTTTCTATTCAGTATCTGGTGTTACTCTCTATAAGTCTGCAATTATAGCAGCCTACCACTCCCTTGTGTTGTGTGTTTTTTTTTAAGATTTTTATTAAAATATAGCTAACATACAATATTATGTTAGATTCAGGAATACACCATAGTTATTCAACATTTTTATACCTAAATAAGTGATCAGCATAAGTCCAGCAACCGTCTGACCCCATACCACACTATCACAATATTATTGACTATATTCCCCATGCTGTACATTACATCCCCATGACTTATTTGTTTATACTTGGAAATTTGAACCTCTTATTCCCCTTTACTTTTTTCCTCCCTTTTTTAATTTTTCAATTACTGTTGACATTTGATGTTATTTTATATTAATTTCTGGTGAACAGCATAGCGGTTAGACATTTCTATAATTTAAGAAGCGATCCCCCTGACTAGTCTAGTACCCATCTGACACCATACATCGTTATTACAGTATTATTGACTATATCCCTTATGTTGTACCCTACATCCCCGTGACTACTTTGTAACAACCAATTTGTATTTCTTAATCCCTTTCCTTTTTTCTCTCATTCCCCTAAACCCTCTCCCATCTGGCAACCATCAAAATGTTTTCTGTATTTATGAGCTTGTTTCTGTTTTGTTTGCTTTTTTATTTTTTTCTTTAGTTTCCACATGTAAGTGAAATTACATTGCGTATGTCTTTCTCTGTCGACATACTTCACTCAACACAATACCTTCCAGGTCTATGCGTGCCACTGCAGATGGCAAGAGCCCATTCCCTTCCAGGCCGAGCAGTATTCTATTGTATATATGTACCACCACTCTTTATCCATTCTTCCATCAGTGGACACCCAGGCTACTTCTACATCCTGGTCATTATAAACAATGCTTCAGTGAACATATGGATGCACACATCTCCTTGAAGTAGCATTTTGGGTTTCTTCAGATAAATACCCAGAAGTAAGATTACTGGGTCCTTATTTGTCTCTTGTGATAGCCTTTGTTTTAAAGTCTAAAATAGCCTGGTATAAGTATTTCTACTCCAGCCTTTTGTTGTTTCCATTTTCATGAAATACCTTTTTCCTTTCTTTACTTTCAGTCTGTTTCTTTCAATCTGATGTGAGTCTTTTGTAGGCAGCATATGTAAGGGTCTTGTTTTCTTATCCATTCAGCCACCCTATCTTTTGATTGGAGCATTTAATCCATTTACATTTAAAGTAATTGTTAATAGATATGTAGTTATTGCCATTTCATTATTCATTTTTTAATAATTTGGGGGGTTTTTTTAAAGCAGTTCCTCTAACATTTCTGGTAATACTGGTTTGGTGGTGATGAGCTCCTTTAGCCTTTTCTTGTCTGGGAAGCTCTTTGTATTTCCTTCAATTCTAAATGATAGCCCTGCTGGGTAGAGTAATCTTGGTTGCAGGTCATTGCTTTTCACCACTTTAAAATGTCATGCCAGTCCCTGCTGGCCTGCAAAGTTTTTGATGAGAAATCACCTCAAATTCTTATGGGAGCTCTCTTGTAGGTAACAAACTGCTTTTCTCTTGCTACTTTTAAGATTCTTTCTTTATCTTTAAGTTTGAGCATTTTTAATTATGATATGTCTTTGTGTGGGCTCTTTGGGTTCACTTGTTTGGGACTCAGTGCTTCCTGGGCTTGTATGTCTATTTTCTTCACCAGGTTAGGGGAGTTTTCTGTCATTATTTTTTCAAATAGGTTTTCAATTACTTGCACTCTCTCATCTCCATCTGGTACCCCTATGATGTGACTGTTGGTATGCTTGATGAGGTCCCAGAGGCCCCTTAAACTATCTTCATTTGGGGGATTCTTTTTTCTTTTTGCTGTTCTGATTGGGTGTTTTCTGCTACCTTACCTTCTAAATCGCTGATTCAGTCCTCTGTGCTTCATCTAATCTGCTGTCAATTCCCTCCAATGTATCATTTCAGTTATTGTTTTCTTTACTTCTGACTGGCTCTTTTTCATGTTTCCTAACTGTTTGTTGAAGTTCTCCCTGAGATCGTTGAACATCTGTATAACCAGTGTTTTGAACTCTGTATCTGATAGGTTGCTTGTCTCCATTTTGTTTAGTTCTTTTTCTGAAGCTTTGTTCTGTTCTTTATTGGGAAAAGGTTCCTTGTCTCCTGTCTCCCCATCATGGCTGCCTCCCTGTGTTTGTTTCTATGTGTTAGGTAGGGCTGCAATGTCTTAGTAAAGTGGCCTTGTGTACTGGGTTTTATGTGGCGCAGTCTCTCTATTCACCTGAGCTGGGTGCTCCAGGTGTGTCACTTTTTGGGTTGTGTGTGCCCTCCTATTGTAGTAGAGCTTTGGTTGCTGTTTGCACATCAGTGAGAGGGATTGACCCTCAAGCTGATTGCTTGTGAGGACTGGTTGTGACTATAGAGGAGTTGCTGTTGTGCAGGGGCTGACTGTACAGAGCAGGATTTGCTTTAGCAGCGCCCTGGTGCCTGCCCAGTCTGCCCTTTGGGTGTGTCTTCCATGGAGGCAGCCTCCTACATGGTCTGAAGTTAGCCACTGGGAGTGCCAGCCCCGGGGCCTCCTGGGAGGGGCCCCACTGCAGGTCAAGTTCAGCAGCAACCTGTGCCCTGCCTGGGGCCATCTGGCATGAGCCACAAAACAATCTGCAAATGCCTCCACCTGCACTGTGCGTCCAGAGGCCAAACTGTGAGCCGAGGCTGGCTGCCGCTAGTGCCAGGCTTGGGGCTGCTCAGCAAGAAATATGGGACATACCAAAGCCAGATACTTCTTGTTTAGGATTTGTGAAGCTTTGAGAGATTTTAGGAAAGTCTGCAGCATGAGCCAAGACAGGTCATTTGTATGGAAAAGCCACTGGAAGCATTGGTGTGCCTGAAAGTTGGGTGGTGCAGGGTCTCAGGGACTCACCAGGGCAGGGCAGATGAATTGTGTTAGCCAGTTTGATGGAGACTCAGATATGGCAGCTGCATTCCAGGAGGGGGAAGCACTCAACAAAGAAACAATGGATTCTGCCAGCACTTCTGTCTGGGAGAAAGCTGCCCCTCCATACCTCCCCCTTAGCTGCATAACTCAGTTCCTCCCTGTATGTCCCTGGCACCTTTTGAGCTGCTGCCCCAGCGTTGGAGCTCAAAGCGAATGAGTCTGTCAGTGAGTAAGTCCATGTGCAGACCCTTTAAGAGGAGAGCCTGGGACACTAGCCACCTTCCTTCTCACCCAGCCACAATCTCAGCTGGTTTTCACAGCCAGAAGTTATGGGGACTTTGTACCTCAGCATTGGAACCCTGGGCTGGGGTGCCTGGTATGGGGCTGGGATCCCTTGCTCTTCCAGGGGGACCTCTGCAACTGAGATAGTCCTCCCGGTTTTTCACTGCCACACGTGGGTGTGGGACTAACCCATTCCATACCAGTCTCTGCCCCTCCTACCAGTCTCAAGGTGGTTTCTTCTGTATGTCCTTAGTTGTAGTACTTCAGGCAATTCTCGATGGTTATTCTGTAGTTTAGTTGTAATTTCGGTGTCCTTTTTTTTCTTACAACAGTCCTGGATTTTCCAGGTGTACTGATTTTGTGGTCATTGGAAGTTGTTGTTTATGTTACCATGGTTATTTGTTTTCAGATCATCTGGCTGCATTAGCTTTGCTTTCTTGTTTCCATTAGAAGTCCACAAAACCCAAAAATAAAAAGTCAGTGTAATTTCAGGATAAAGGAAGGGCTTGAAAGGCATCCTTCTGTCCAAGATTGTATTTAAAATTGGGCACTGATGAAAATGGCAACTTTAAGCTAGTTCTTCCATTGATTGATAAAAATAGTCTAGGATATTATATTCTAAAATTAGATCCATACTGATTTATTTTAAGAATCTTAGTGATAAAAGTTTCTGCTAATGATAGAACATGAGAGATAAATATGAGGAAAAGAGTATAAAAATTTATAGATGAAAAAGAGAGCATATTTAAATAGTTATTAAGTCATTTATTTCACTTCATTTCTAAATGAAATGAAGAAAGAATCATGAGGACTATAAACTTGTGTTAATATTTATGGTCCTGAAATAAATTACTTTATTGTGATAAGAATTTCTCAAGAATGAAAATATGTCATAAATCTTTTTCAGTA